ACTTGCTCAACTGTGTGAACTAAAAAAGCGAGTATAATATCTGAATTCACTTGGAATAGAGCAAGGTCCCCAGCTCTACTAGTATATGCAGGAATGTATTAATAAAAGGAACAAAAAAAAACTTGAGTCCAGGAAATGGTAAAGAAATGGCAAAATTGGGAAGTTATGTAAATAATACTCCCAGCAAAGCAAGTACTTTGAAACCAAACATATCACAATGCCTCTTAGATATTGGAAGCTCTGACACTTGTGTGTTTGTCTTTCTTTTTTTTAAATCATTATAAAACATAAGTATTTTATACCAATAACTGTGTTAAACTATGTGTATTTCTTTAAGTCTTGTTCCTACTATTATCTCTATACTATTTATATATAGACTATAGACTTGTGTTTATTAAAAGCCAATATAACAAGAAACAATTATAAGACATGCATGACTTTTTTTTTTTTTTTTTTTACAAAATGATACAGTAATACAAATAAACACGTTAACAGAGTCACAATCACAAAATATAATTTGGAACATTACAAGAAAAAAACTATGAATTGAGGACTGACTACAACAAGCAGATGTTCACTTTATAATGCGACAGTGCTCACAAGACTGAAGAAACCTAAAGGGACTGAAAGAAGCAGGAACCTATTTAGCGACACTAATCAGATTGTAGGCAGGTGCAGACAGACAAGAACAGAATGAGGAATTGTTTCGTACCTTTAGTGTCATATATGCTGCTCAAGAACTCACATTTATAATAGCTTTGCATTGCAATTCATCCTTGATTTTCTATTTAGGTATAAAGGGAATTTGACAAAGAGAGCCAAAGGCAAGGAAGGCAAGAAACAATAAGCAGGAGAGATGAGATTGTTAATAAAAATATAAAATAAAGTAGGTACAAAAATGAAGAAAACATTTTTTTAATAGCAAACTTGAAAAATATACTCAATTTGATGCTTCAATATATAGTATTACCATTAGGAATGATTCATGTCCAAGGTCAGTTTCCAGCAGCAGAGAGAGTTACAGAGTCGTGAGAGCCGGTTTCATTTATAGGAACCCACAGAAAGTGTATCATATGCTAAAGAATAATCATACAAATAGACGTGTTATACATCTATTAAGGAAAGGGTTTTTATTAGTTATTGAGGGTGTTGCATTTATCTTAGTGGTAACTGTTACAATATGAGATGCCAGTTATCCGTTAAAATTACAGCAATATATAACTTGTTTTCATTAGTAATTATCCTCAATAACCATTACTAATAAAAAAAGTGACCTCAGGGAGCATTTCATATCAACAATAAGTTAGAATGGGTGTTTGAAATAGATGAGCTAATTCGTTTACAGCATCCCAGGGAGCAGAAAAAAGAAGTGGTTGCTTCAATTCACTGATAAGGTGTTCAAATTATTTTATATTTCTGCATAAACATTTACAATTATTATGATACCTGGGCATGCGCAAAATTTCATCCACATTCACACCAAAGAGCATAATAAATCAACATAAGTCAAAGTTAAAATGGAAAAAGAACATCCAACAGTGATAGAACATTCAATACTAAATATGTATTTAAATCCACTCCAGGACCCAGTAGTTGGATTTCAAATTATTATTATTAGAAGGTCAGTTTCACATATAGTAAGGAAAAATAATATGACCATGCAAAATTAAGTAGTGGCATCATGTACAGAAATGTTTGTTCAATAAAGAAAGAAACACTGCAGGTTGTGTGGAGGGTCAGAAAAGGTGGGCTAATAGTTTTTGAATACAAATTTAGCATCAACCTATTCACTACCAAGCAATTTGTGAAAAACTCACTACCAAAATCCTGGAACGTTGGGTGTCCTGGAAAGTAATGTTTACATATATGTATATAGACATAATAATAAATGTGTATATATATATATACACCATGTGTCCTGAGGAAAGTTCACAGTTGTGAACTGAAACATTGACCACTTGGATTAAATGCCTATGTTTTTCATGTTGAAGTCCTTGAGTGCTGGCTTTCTTTTTGGAGACTGTATTTGTGTGCAGCTGAGCATCGGGCCAAGATTTGGAGGAGAGCTGGAGTGCAAAATTCCCATCGTATTGTGTATATATATATATATATGTATATATATATATAACTGTGGCAGAGTGAGTGTGACATTGTCACTATGACAGAATGAGTGTGATATTGTGTCGTGTAGCGAGGTGGTGAGTGCAGGGAGTTAAGTGTGACAGGGTGACTGTGGAAGGGTGAGTGTGAGGGGATGACTTTAACATGGTGAGTAATTGGAGTTGAGTGTGTGAGGGGGATTGTTTGTGTGGCAAGTATATTTATGTTACCTTTTGGGCACTGATTTGGGCTTTTACCTGTTTCCCTGGTGGTCTGGTGGTGCTCCCTAATATCTCAGTTTGCTGAGCTTTTGTTCTGCAACATCTGTGGAGGCAGACAAATTACAAAGTTCCTTTCTGGCCTGCGACCATAAGGGAGCAGTGTGAGATTCAGCAGTGTGCTGAACTCACTGAAAATGCAGACCTGCAGCTTCATTGATTGGGGAATCAACACAGCGTGGGGCAGTGAAATACTTTGATCAAACCATGGGCCCATGCTGTGGTGGGAGGGCGCAGAAGAGCCAGCATGGTAATGGTAGCATAAGTTTTGGTGCTTGTGTCCTCAAAAGGAGACACACTGCAAGCAAAATTATTTTGCAAAAAACTGACTTTATTTGCAACATTAAACATCATGTATACTTGATTATGTAGTATTGGTCCATACCTGAAACATCATGTATGCACAATGTGATTGGGTTAACTGTAACCTAACCTAAACATCTTACCAAACATGCAGGTGCCTCAACTACAACATATTTCCACAATTTAATGATAAATAATAGGGATGTGCATGGGCAAAAAAATTATTTCGGTTTGGAAACTTGTTTAATTAAAAAAATGTGTCTGCTTCCGAAATTTGGACCAATGGCATTTGGTTAGGTTCGGCACTTTGGCAATTCGGAACTTTGGTAATTCAGACCCTAACACTAACCCTAAACCTAACCCCTAACCACGTGTTTTGCCCTTAACCCTAAACCCTAACCACTTGTTTTGCCACTTTTCAGAAATCCGAAGCACTTCGGAACTTCAGCAATTCAGAACTTTGGCTATTTGGCAATTCAAACTTCAGGCATTTGAAAGCTTCCAAATGTCCGAATTGCGCGAAATTCATCCGAATGTACATTCGAAACGAATTGCACATGTCTAAAAAATAATAGTAAATTATTTCCTCTCAACTGACTACAGTGAATACAGAAAAAATAACGTCAGCATTGTGATAAGTGTCAAAAGGTGTAGATTTTAAAAAATAAATCACTCCCCCCAACAAATGAATTAAGCCATTGATAATGCTGAAAAAAGAGAATGGAGAATGTTAAAAATATGAATTTTTGCTTAGGCAGCACATTACATATAAACAATTTGCATTTGTTTACTGATAAATTATAGGCAGAGTAAATTATGTTTAAGCAGTGTGATGCAATCTCAGCACAATTAAATTGCTGCAAGAACCACTAAGCTTTGATAAATACTCCTTGTAATGTAAACAAAATGCAAATAGCTAATAATGCATGTGTTGTAGCAAGTTAAGATAAAGGCTTTGTGAAAATACTTTTAATGACTCCTTAGTAACAAACAAGTACCTCACAAAACATATTTTATTTTTATTGCATTGTTATTGGCAGAGATAATCTTTTAATTTCTATGTTTCTAAGTTAAAGGAAAAACAGGTTTAAAAATTAGCTTATCAAAACGGCACTATTTAAATATCTATTTGTTGATAATATGACAAGCCTTCTGCATATCCTTCTTGAGATATAAAGAATCCACTGAAGCAGTTTCTTGCAAACCAGTCTTTCTAATTTTCATTATCCCATTACGAACAAAAACTTATTTGAGACACTCTCAGGAAGTTTCAACTGATATTCTGTTGCATCATGTAGATGCATGAATAAAAACACTTTGTAGCAAGTGTGAAATATATATTTTGGTTAATCCTATTTTTATCTTTTTTTTTTTCATTAACATTCCTTAAATACGATCTACAAGAAGGTTGTACATGAATGATAATAGCATTCATTGAGCAATTCTTTGTATTGGCTTTCAAGAGAAAAGCTTTACTTTATCTCAGCTATATGACCAATTTTGCCTAAGTTTTGAATTAGTTCCATAATTGCTTAAGAGCCGAAATGTTTATTTATTGATTCTGTGTTTTTTATTTCCTCCTTTTTGAATTATATTGATCATCGTTTTTTCACTGATTTGTATAAGCTTCTGATGTGTATTTTTACTCTTCCTTTCTCTTTTTAAAAAAATAATTATTTATTTTTGCAGGTGATGCATTCTCGAACAGTATAATAAAAAGGTACAATGATTTATACACGTTCATTTCTAATAATGTACATTGTACACAGATAGCTGACACCTAGTTTTTATTATGGTGGTCTATAACAGTTAAAGTGAGATGCAAGTCTCGCGTAGTGGGCTCCCGTGTCTATATTGTGTCTCGATTTAGTGCCCTCGAGAGGGTGTATAGTCGAACGTTAGGAGCCAGTCTGGTCATTCTAGGGCCTGTATGCCCCTTGTGTTCGTCTTATCTCACTATAGGTTATGTATGCATTTAAAGAAACATAGTAAATACTTGTAAACGGGAAACCTATACCCACACACATTATACAGGGGTTGCTAACAGAAAGCCGGTTAATGGTGTGTGGATGTGTTCCAGTGTGCACAGGCTTTGCGTGGTCCCTAACCAAAAGGGACGTCGGGGGGGATGTTGTAATGTCCGTCGGTAGTGGACACTATTACTGTCGTAGTTAGGGTTTAGACTTTCAATATGCACGGATTGTCCTGGAGCTCCAGTCAGGTCAGTACAGTCAAAGTATTGTTAATGGGGGGGTGTGGGGGAGGAACAGAAAGGGCAAGTTAAAACATCAGCATGACAATGTAAAGTAAGGTGGCACATTATGTCACTGCTCCCTGCCCATTCCGTGGAGTAAAGGGGGTTATATTGTCCATGTCCCAAGTCCCAGTAGTGTTGCGTGCCCCCTGTTCCTGCAGGGCATCACTTATGCCAACTGCTGCCAGGAAGGTGGTGGCCTGTGCCACATCAGTAACCTTCAGCTGTCCGCCTTCTGTAAGTACTGTAAGCGGTACAGTATGCCAGCCTCTTGCAGCCATTGTGTGATGGGTTTCATTTTCTCCATAACAGGGTGGAGTGGTGGAGATCCTGGAAAAGTGAGATCCTGTGATTCTCAGAGATGATTTGTTGTGCATTGCTCTTAGTACGACTTGCCTGTCTTGTTTCGTGCCATAGCGAAGTATTATGTCTCTTGGGGCTGTGGGTGGTGCCCTAGGGGACTTGGCGATGTGGTAAGCACCATCTTGTGTGAATTGCTTGGCTTGTTTCGCTGGGAGTAACTTAGACACCATTCTCCTGATGAGGTGTGGTAGTTTCTCATTTGACACTGTTTCTGCAACTCACCTGATCTTTATATTTTTCTTGCGTGATCTCTTGTCCAGTGCATCTATTCTGCGTGAAGTGTCTGAGTGTTGCGTCTGCAGTTTTGCGACTGAGTCTCCTACTGCCGCAATTTATCATTGCAAGTCGGCTATGGTTGAGTAACCACCTGTACTTCCATCCGCACCTCATCTATATTGGCAGCGAAGAGCTTTTGGATGCGATTAAACAGATTATCTATATTAGTTAGTTGGGGTATGCATGGTTTGGGTCCCCACTAGAAGTGGCCCCTGCGCAGTGTCACTCCCCCCCTTCCTTCCTCTGGTGGGCACAGGCCTTTGTCTCGGTCTGCTCCAGCTCCTTGTGTTTCTGCGTGCGTTGGAGCAGCATGCCTATGTCTTGCATATCTTGGGGAGTTGATGCCTGTGATTTGTGGGATTTTTTGCCCATCTCCTCTGTCCCCTGTACCTGTGTTTTCTGGGGGTCAGGTGTGAGCCAGTCCAGGTCCCACCAGGCTGCGGAGGTGTGCGGCGTGATTCTCTGGTCGACTGTGTGGGAGGCCTTGGGCGGCCAGTGTTTTTGTTTGGTGCCCGTTTGCTGAAAAAAAGGCATCAGTGTGTGCCTCTCAGTCTTCTGCGGCCGATGTCAGTCTGCCTGTAAGTTTTTACCCGATGGGTTGGGGAGTTATTCCCGATTTTCGGTGCGCGACTCGTGGAGCTCGAGAAATGGCGTCCGTGCTGCTTACCTGCTAAGCCCCGCCCCTTCCTTTCTCTTTTATCACGATGGATTAAGATGACATTATTTAAGTTAAGTTTTATTGGTCATGTAAGGAAAATAGAAGGCCTCAAATGGTAAATATGAAGCACTTCTGATTATTTGTGCTCATTTAATAGTTTTGTCCTAACTGAACTAAATTGTGTCTGTTTTTGTTTTGTTTTACTTTTTAAGCAGAATAATACTGTGTTGTTGGAATTGGGAAAAGGGAGCAGCGCCTAGGTAGGGTCCTCAAATCCAAGCCTGTATGAAATGAGAGAGAGGACAAAAAAAAAGGGAATAGAGACAAAATAATGAATAGCAGTTATAGTAGTTGGAGCTATAAACTAGCTACAATTCCTGCCTCCAGATGATACAATCTCTGCCTAGGGGTATTGACTTGGTTTCTTGATCTGAAAGGGTAATGTCCAGGTATATATGAAAAACAGAAGAATAACACTAATATGGTGTAGTATTTCAAGTGTCCAAAGTAGTGTATCACATTTAATGGAGCCCAGTGATGTGGAATAATCCTCAGTCTTGGATTTATATGCAATGCCCACTCTTGGCTGTATGTAGGTTAAAATCCTTACTGTATGTATGTAAAAAAGAAGAGATAAAATATAGTGCAGATTGTGAAGTTAAATGCATTTAAAATAACAGGAGATGTACTCACTGACTTGGAACAAAAATGGTTTTGCTCATACCAAAAGGTTAGGTGGTATGTTCCCAACAACTTTATTAGAGAAACACTGAATAAACACTAAATCCTTTCACACACTAAATATGCTTTTTAAAAGTTATTGTAAGGTAACAAGCATCTCTTGTATCTGTGAGAGTCACTTTACTAGAACTTTTACTTATTGTTTTTATCTTTAAGGTTGCATTACTCATCGGACACCTTCAATATGATGCCTTCCCTTTTTTAATGCTTTATGTTTGTTTTGTTTTTTTGATGTAAACTGTTTTGTATTTATTCTTAAGCACATCATTTCTGTTGAAGTATTTAGAATATGTGCTGGTTGTATCACCATATGATGATATCAACCAACAAATAAATACATCAAGAGCAGAGTCATTACATTAGTTAGAGGCATACACAGAAGGTGGAACTGCCAGGGTTGCAACAGTCAATTGGCATGTTGCTAATTTGGCATATATACTAAATAAATTACTGAAGGACAGGCATGGACTGGGCACTCAGGCAAGTCGTCCATGGACCAAGGGCCTGAGGCATCTAGAGGCTTGCCTCAGGATGAGTAGTAAAGAACCAGCTTGGCTGGGAAGAGCTCCCCAGACAGACTGCACAAAGTAAGGGGCCTAGATAGCAACAAGCAGGGCAATATTGCTAAAGTTGCTTTCCCACATACACTGTAGCATTGGGAAGCATTTAATCAATTTATACCTCTTCCCATCTGGCCCAGCAGCATCAAGCTCTCTGTCTCCTACACAGATCAGCCATGCACTAAATTTCTGTGTTTGGACTGGGTAGAAGGAAGAGCCCACATTATACAGCATGAAATGCTCAGCCACACTACACAGCAACAGAGGTACATGAATAAATGATGTTAAATATATTTAATAATAATACATCATTATTTGAATACATATTTTACATACATTTCACATATAAATGAGAAAGGTGAAATGTTTATGGGGGTGTTGGAAAATTAGAGTATCTCAAAGACTTGTCCCTGGCGTGATTGTTTATCTTCGCCCAAAATGTTTACCTAAAACCAAAATTTTGTTTGTGACATTTGATACTTGTGTGGCGAAACCAACCTCGCCACTGTACACTGGAGAAGCCTGGTTGCTCGCCTGCTCCCTTTAGACTATGGTCCTGCATTTTAAACTTTTATTTTACCGGCAGAAAGGTTCATTCGTGCCTTTCTGCGGACTATTAAAGCCATGCTACCCCAGATAGTTATGCCGTGGAGCCCAGCCGTATACTGAAAGACTGTATGAAAGACTTTGGCTCCATGGCGATTGAACTGTATGTATGTGATCTGAGCGCCATTCGGTAGTAATGTGCGCTCAGATCTAAGCTATCTGGGGATAGGTAGAATGTCTATGTTTTATGGAATAAATGTAACTGTGTGTAATTTTATGTATTTTATTGTATTGTTACTGCCATGTGGTTAATGGAGTCTTGCCTCTGTCCTGGGAGATAATTGAATTACTTCCCCAATTATCTCCAGGACAGAGAGGAGGGATTGTGATGTAAATGTGGGTGGGTGTTACGGTTCCCCTGTAAACGATTGGTTGTACTGTCTCCCACCCTGTGGGATGTCCCCTTGCATGGGGACTTGCATAAAAGCCAGTGTGTGGCCATTACAGGCAGTTCCTGCTTAACCCTCAAAGTGAAGTGTTGTCTCATTATTGGGGGAGGATTTACTGTATGCTGTTAGAGACTGATTGCCAGGAGTGTAAGCCGCTTGGGGGCTTTTCCTGTTTGTCTGCTAGCAGCTATTCGTGTGTCTCCAGTTCGGGAGTTTCGAGTATTCCCTTGGTTGCAGTTCGGGAGTTGGTGAATTCGTGGGTTTGCAGTTCGGGAGATTGGTGCTTGCAGTAGCTGTCTGTGCAGCTGAAAAAGGGGAATATCGCCTAAACGGTTTTTAACCTCTTTTGGGCAAAACGGTCCGTTACAACTTGTCTAAGTGATGTTTTGGATCGGCAGAACATTGTTTATGAAAAAATATTAGGAGAGTTAAGCGGGAGATTAGTGGGCTGCACTGTAAAAATGGTTACAATATTGCCTAATGGCTAGGCAAAATCAGCCATTTTTGCTATGCCAGTTCAGTGTTCTCAACTCATCATAATTATATTATTATAACTCTATTTAAAAAAAACGAAGGGAAAAACTTGGCTTTAGAATTATGAATCTTTTTTCCTTTTGCAATTCTTGTATTAATGAATAATAGGGAGCAGCTGCAACAAGAATAATTTTAAGCTGACATTTTCAGTGGGAAAATTGACAACACACTTATCTTTTCCACCCTGAGAAAAAGAAAGCTTTTCCACACATCCATTCTGTGGCATCAGTGACCATCCTTCAGTGTGGGGAAAAAAACAGTGCTCTATCAACAGCTTCTCTTAAATGTATGTACAGAGAGAACAGGCATAGCCACACTGCAAGGCTCAGCCAGGCAAGGAGACACTACTATAATGAAAGGGCAGAGCTGCAACAGCAGAACAAATTTTATTTTAAATAATTGTTTGTTTATTTTATCCACTGCCAGATTTTAGAATATATTTACAAGTTTTTTAAACAACTTTGGAGAGAGAGGTGAGTGGCCAGTTGGCTCTAAGCTAGCTGATGACGACGGTTTAGGTATTAAACTTAAGAGCAAGGTAACCCATTGTGGGGAGACTTAACTTGAGGAAGGTTATTTTACTTTTGACCAGAGAAACGCACAAAGTGGAGTACTAAGCTTTTGAGACTGACGGATAGACAGAACACTGGAGAATGCCACGAGGAATTCCACTGGGAATATGTTACCCATTTGTACAGTGTGAATTAAAAGAAACAGGCATTAAAAAAATAACCTATGCTAATTCCCAAAGGACTGTTAACACCGCAGACAAGATACACTAATGCTAGCAAATAACATCCAAGCTAGAAAAGCTAACAGACTAACAGTGATATGGTAAATCACTCTGGGCAAATTCATGTTTATAACGTTAAAGCACAATCTATATATAAAAAGACAGAATGGTAAGCTATATAAGGACCAGGGGGACTTTGATAGGAGAGCTGCTTAAATGAACAGACAGTTGCACCTAATAGATGAGGTGATCAGTACACATCTGCCCCATATAAGCTGTGTCTACCTAAATATAGCGCTTTCATCTGAACAATATGATGAATCAGTCACACCCCATGCCATGTTTACTCCTGCCTCAATCTTATTAGCTTCTTAATATATTTTCTGCATGAGAGACTAATCCTCTAAAGCATATCATTAGAGGAACATATTTCCTGATCTGCACATATATTGAGATTACCACCCTCTTTATACTTGTGGGCTAAGCATGACTGACTCCCCATATGTATGGTGATTTCAGTAGGGCACAACAAAAATATAGATATTCAGGAGTACTTCTTTTTCTATACACTGGTATGTTTAACATTTTCATCTGGGCATTTAGCAGCCCAACTAACTCCTCCTGCACTCCCTCCATTTTGTTTGTGTGTGTTGAATGATAACTATAAATCAGGTATGGAGAGAGGGCAACAGCTCCTACACCTTTCTCCTCCCTCAGACAGTGGACAATAAGATGTCTATGGTATGCACAGACACGGTAATTCAGATGGAATTTACTGTAAACATGTACAAGTCTTTGTGACATTACTGTATGTGCATGTATATATTTATGTATTTGAAACTGAAAATTACAAATTTAACAAATCATTTGTGTGAAAATTTGGTTTGAAGCTCTATAGTTTTCTAAACAATTATAAAATAAAACAAAATGCTTAACATTAAATAAAAATACATCAAGAACTCTTCAGCCAGGGTCAACTTTCAAAGGTTCCTTTAACCCCTTAAGGACACATGACATGTGTGACATGTCATGATTCCCTTTTATTCCAGACGTTTGGTCCTTAAGGGGTTAAGTACCATGACCACTTCAGTAATTTGTAGTTGTTATGTTGTTTAGATTCTGTATGTGAAGTGTTTAACTGAGTAGCTCTTCACAAACTTCTACCAGGGATGTAACTCAACCTATGTAAGTGTCATTAGGGCATCATTAGCCAGCTGAGAATAAGAGTTCTGGGCTAGCTAATCAAAACATATATGAATAGTGAGTGCACACCAAATTTAAGTTAAAATCAGACTTTA